ACAGACTGGATGCCAATGTCCATCGGGATCCGGGTCAGGCTCTGGCGGTACCGGTGGTCTCCAAGATCGTCGGTCGGGACTGTCGACTTTGTAGCGGCTTATCTTGGAGGAGTATTGGCCAATCGGAGGTGCAACAGACTTGATGGACCGGTATAGCTCCTTGACCTGCATCTTCATCACCTGGCGCATCTTGACAACCTTTTCGACAATGCAAGATTGTTGGCCATGGTGGGGAATTCCCACGAGGATATATTTCTGCCCGTTGCAATGATTTTGCATTGAGGATAAACTCCGAAATTTCGCTGATTGGGTGTGTAATATTGCACACACGTCCCCTCACACAGCACTTCATTTTCTTGTGAATTGATGAGACACGCCAAGGATTACCAGCAGTGACAATCATGGCATTGCCAGTGCCGCACATTCCATGAGACGAATTTCTGCCACTCAACATGTACATGCAGAAGTCTTTGCCCATTCTAAGCTCAGGAAGCAGATGCAACATCTCTTGATCACAAATTGCATAATTTTCATTGCAACTAGATGATTGACAATCCGCAAGGGCATCATATACCAATATACTACCGGCCCTTTTCAATATTGAGCGTGGATCACATTCATTGAAGGCAGCAACTGGCCGTTCACACCTGTCCATCGCTTGTCCATTTTGGGCAATACCTTTCTTTCCATCAGGACCCTTCGAGGCCACCATCGTTGCCTCTGATTTTGGTTTGGCATCCTGTGGCAACTTTACAGAATGTGTGGCATAAGTCTGCCCCACAGACCAATAATATCCCAGAATATGTGCAAAGAAAATCACAAACCAATGCACTCTACGATTGTTTTCTGGGACGCCCTGATCAGGTAAATCGCCCACAGCAATGCTAATTGCCTGCTCGTCTTTGGGCACTGAGCCATTCCGGAAGTCACGCTCTATCAACATCACGGGCTTAGTTGTGAGAATCTCCGATGGTGCACGAATCACAGGGCTTTCAACCAGTTGGCGGCCCGGCCCTGTGGGCGGACAATTAGCTCCAACATTTGCTTCATTTTGCGAATTCTGAGAATGCAAGGACGACTGAATCGACATGTCGTCGTTTTCTGCATCTTCATGATCAGCATGAGGTGATTCATAAATAGTCAAGCGATCAGAACGAAGAATCGTCTCCTGCCACAAATGGTTCTGAGATATAGAAATACTCAGAGTCAGTTGACGAGAAATGCAGCCAGCTGGAGCTGCTGCGCCGAGGATGGCGAACAAGTCGAGATTTTTGGAAACTCGATCGACCCCCTTTGTCACCACCGAAGTCTGGTTCAGAATCACGGCCTTGAGCCTTGCATATTCTTCTTCTCAATAATGCAGTGGTTCTGTCCAAGGCATACTGTAGAAACGTCATGGACTCATTTTCATCACCAGCATCATCACTGCCCATATCCGCATTCAGGTCAACGAACGAATTTTCGCTGCGATTTCTGTTTGCACGGCGCAGCCATCTCTCTCTTGCAGCACATTTTTCTGCAACGTCATATGGTGATGCATCGTCCTCAACCAGCGCAGCCACAAAATCCGATATTTGGTGTGGCATGCCATCCAGGAGGATTTCAATGCATTCCTGGTCAGAGACATGATAGGGGTGTGCTGACTCACCCTGCGCCTCATAGCAAAGAGCGCATCAGCGTAGTTCATGACCCATTCACCTTTTCTCATTTTTCTTTCCCGGAATTCCTTAAGCATTTCACGGGGGCTGCTAAATAAACGCTGCCTAAATTTGGCCAGAAAGCATTTCCACGTCAGGCTGTGGTGAGCAACACCCGTTTCTGAGTCACTGCTAAAGCCAGATTCTGCGCGTTTGGTATGTTTGGCCAATAGTTGTTCGGCCCACATGGCTGCGCTTCCGGCTAGGTGAGCTACCGCCCTGTCAACACGGGCTGATTTGGGCCATTGCTGAATTCGTGCTGTACGGATTAATTGGGACAGCCAACCCGCAGCTTCGGACCTGTCTAGTCCGTCAAACTTGCCGAGCCGAGGGGCACGGTAATATATGCCCCGATCAGGTGTCATACGACCACCACTGTCTGAGTGACCATCATCAGTATTATGCCGCTGTCCCTTGCGGTCAGCTGGATGTCGTGACCTGCGTTTGAGCGCCTATGGCGCGGACGCCGCTGCCCGTCCTCCGACGAGTCGCTGGAGTACTCCAAGAGGCGACCAGCACGGGAAAGGCGTTGTTGGCCTCCACCCCGTCTGCCACTGCGTGACCGTTATAGGTCCTGTTCGCCCATCCGAAAAGGCACACCGTGGGGATCTGTCCATGGGTCGATGCTGCGACCTGCGGGGCCGGTGGTCATGCAAATACGGTGCCTAACTCTGGCGCGGGACTCGGCCGCTGCCGTGGCTTTCGTGCCTTTTGTGTCTTGGAAGCTGCAGATCGTTCTTAATCCATCCCGCTGATTCACCGGTAGATAGTACGGCCTGTGGGGTGCTACAGTTAAGGGATACCTGCGATAGCTTTCCCCGCCTCTCACTGCCAGCGCGTGTCCCTTCTCTTGTCAGGCAGCTCTCCCAGCGTAGGTGCCCAATAGGGCGGGGTCTGTGCGGCCATGGAAAATCCGTGCAGCTTGCCATGGCTGGTAGGGGACCTCTCGCGCGTGGGGGGTGGCCAGCGCGGTGGTCTGTACTCCCAGCGGCTCTCAAGTGGCCTTTCACGGTCAAGGGCCATCTGCTGCTGTGATCCGCGTGCCCTTTGCGCCCCAACGAAAGGCCAATGTCTCCGCTGGGCCATCCTGGGTGAGTGGCCATGGCAGCGATCCGACCTGCGATCCAAGGACTTGCTTTGTTCAGAAATGTCTGCCCCTCGCGTACTCGACGAGGGACATTCTTCGTTTCCGCTGACGGCAACAACACCGTGGCTGCATATCTCACCCGGCCGGCGGGGAACTGCCTGTCACTTTTTATGATAACGTAATTTGCGAGGGGCCCGCAGCCCGATGCCGGGGCACGTGATGGCACCTTGTCGCCGGGAATGCCGTTGCGACCTGCGCCAACGCTGCCGCACCCACGGTGCCGCACCCAGGCCAGGGGTCCCGCAACCCAACGTGAACAGCATACAGCCTCGGCAGAACAACTTGCCGGGCCCCACAGCACTCAAGCCCTTTTCATGGCGGCCGTGGCTGCCTGCAGCATCAATCAATTACGACCCATTCTCGCTATTTCTGTTCGTGCATGGCAACACGGCCTCCGGCCACAATTGTGGCAAGCGCTGCTTGCAAGCAGCAAGTCTCAATCCACACCAAGCACAGTGCGGATGCTGCGAAACAGCAGCTGATTTCCGACCTTCACACGCACATGCGCAGCGTCCGTCGCGCACCCTCTGGCGGTGTCACAATCGATGCCAAAATACAGACCTTGGGGGAACAGCGGTGGCGATCCCCAAACAAACCTTTTGCTTCCGGTCGTCCCCACAGGGTCCCAGCGAACTCCCGCCGCGGGAAATCGCCCTGCGCTCCGAGATCAAGACTCGTACGCTGTAGGAATGGCGTCCAGATGACGAATCTACCAGCAATGAGCCGGTCACGAATGGAAATGGACCCCGCCCGATCGATCTGAACTCGACGGCGAGGATGCACCTACAATGGGCGACTGTCAGTGCGGCATGTACCGAACGAACGGGGCACGATCCCTGCGTATTTATAGAGAAACGCGCAAGTGTGGTCACGAAACAAGCGTGTTCGTTACAAGCAAAGCTGTTCGTCTGAATTGTGCAGCCAGTGGGTGCGACACCAACACGGTACTCGTCTAACTCATACCCCAAAAGGTCGCATCAAATCTTGCACAGCATTGTAGTACAATGTTCTTGGGTGCTCCACCCTCGCCGTAATGTACGAGCAGTCCGGGCTTGTGTACTACTCCGCGTTACCCTGGGTTTCAGCCCCGTCTCAGCCTTTGAGTGCGGCACCCGGGCCCCAAAAGTACGAGTTTCGCTTGCTAATGTACTAGCCTTAGTTACACAAGGCTCTGTCTAACTTTGTCTCAGCCTTTGGGTGCGGCACCTGACCTTCAAAATACGGGCTCAAACCGCGAACATACTAGCCTGCGTTACGCAGCCATGACCACCGTACTGCCGGTATCTCGTAAGTGCTCAATCTGTCACGCCGCTCAAAGCGCTACCAAACCCATCAGTCGTATCGCGATGCCGGCCGCCGGTTCCCCGTGCTGGGGCACAGTACGCGGTGCGGCACCCGTAGTAGTTGAGCGTCGTAAGGTAATGGAAAACGCACGGGTGCGGCACCCATAATATTCTGGCCCTCTAAAGTATTCGGAAATTGGCTTTTGGTGCACCCACGCCCATGCTCCCACCAGGGCGCTCCGCCACCGGTCATCACAGCAGGCCTCGGTTCATCGCAGCGTCCGGCAATCTTTAATCTTCAACAGCGATGCTCAGAATGGCAGGTCCATCAGTTAATCTTCTGGCACATCATCAAAGAGGGCATGGCACGTCTTCTAGTCGTCTGGCAAATCTTCAGAAATGGCAAGCCCACGACGCAGCTCACATGCATCATCGGTCTCATCATCTCATTAACGTCTCGAACTTTGCACAGCTTGCCTTCAGGACTGCTACATCTCGTCTCCACTCACCAAGGCATTGGGTCCGGCACATCTTCAACACTCGGCATGGAAAAGGCCCGTCTCAGGAGGTTGGAGTGGCGTCATTCAGCTGGGCATTAAGGGCTTCATTCCCTGCATACTCAGGCCATCTCCACACCGTCTACTCAGCACTCACGTACTTGCGATGTCAAAGTCATACCAGTACTATCGACCATCAGACCATAATGAGGCTTTTAATGACAAGTACCCGGTTCCGGAGGGGTCCTTGGAAAATCGCCATTACTGTTCAAATATGTTTTGAGGTGCCGCTAAGGTGGGCTTCCTTGTCGTCGGGCCTCAAGGCGACCATGGCGCTAAACGTCTGCACAGCGGCGTGAAGGCCGCCCGCTGGGACATGTCCAGCCCCGGCAGCCAGGCGCCGGGCTCGACCTCGCGGCCGGAGTCGCCATCTGATCCCGACCCTGGCCATGGGGGGCAGCAGCGACGGGAGCAGCCGCAGACGGCCGAACGCTTGCCCGCCGCCGGCGCCCTCGTCCTGGAGGCGATCTTGGTGCGGCCTCGGCACAACCCCCGTGCCCCTAGACTCGCGGCAAGCTGTCGGCGCAAGGACATGGCATTGGCGGCGTGAGAATTGGCTTCAAGTTTCTGGGAATGACGCTTTGGTGGAAAACGCGCTAAAGGGCGGTGACGCACAGAAAAGGGGGGCCCGGAGGGAGGGGGATAGTGCATGCGTGCGTCGAATGGGCTGCTGTCCAAATGTTGGACTGGCGAGTGGAGAAGTCATACGCCCGGATTTGTGCGTGTGGTAGCCTTGCGCACGGCGCGCCGTTATCTGTTGTGGGTGTCGCAGAGATTTGGGGCGCACACTGACAGCGAACTGAAGAAGAAGCGTCATGCTGTTCCGAAGCCACAACCGCCGAATGAGAATTGGGCCAACCGTGGCTGGAAACACACGGCTTGGTGTCGGCAGGCAGTCTGCAGTTGGCGAGTTGCAGTATTGTTTCCTGCCTGCGTTTTAAGTGCTCTCAACGGCCAACTCGGGTCTGGCACGCCCTCACTGGACATCAGGACATAGGATGTGGGGTCGAGTACTTCAATATGGAGATCTGGCGTACAACATGGAATTCTGGTATTGCGGCAATAAATGATTTCAGGGCACGGATGTGGTGGGGCAAGCCACACTTGATGGAACATATACTTTCAGATGAGCGTTCTGGAGGTGCAAGTCTCCATCATCGGCCTTCCTGTTCAGGCCTGTTAAATTGGTTGAGAAAAAATTGCAAAACAGGTTGCAGCAGTGGACTCCTCCAGATTGGCATGCAACTGGAACTGTGCCAGACTGTAACCTGCAGCTGTTGTCTTGTCATTGTAGCTCAAGCGCCAGCAGCTATACCAAACGGTTCTCAAGGCGTTGGAAGGCAGAGGGTCAGCCGATGAGCACTACACCAGAGTGCTGATGGGGATCCAGGAGCTCCTTGAAGCTGAAGACGTGGCCAGTGTTGCCGAGGAAGTGAGCAGCAGATCGGACCCACAAAGAGGTCAATGACGAGATGCGAATATGGGAGCAGGGGACTACATTTTGTGCATCGCTGCTGCTGATTCCAAGTGGATCATTACATTACTTTCACCATTGGGACTCAGTTATTGCATCCTCATGTGATATGGTTTCAACACAGTTCATGTATTGTCTATCCCCTTGAGCAATGACACCAAGACAATGTCCAAAACAAGCAGTATGCAATGCTCCACAGTGCAATCCTTCAACTCCCCCCTCCCCAGGTAATCTAGTTAATGCACATCCTGTGCTGCTGCTGCTGCTGATAGTCTTAGTGTGCTCATAATTGGGCCCATGGGGATTATGTGGTGTTGTCATGCTAATGCCTTTGATCCACGCTTTCTTTGTGTCAGTACATTGCAACATTCTGGTGCTGTTCCCATTGTACGCATGCATGCATTATTGCTGCCCATACTAAATTCGCTTGATGTGTTTGATGTCTACTTGATGTCATCATCACGTGTGCTCACACTTGAAACCTCTGGCAGGATGCCTGGATGAGGAACAAACTCAGAAGCTTTCAACTGAGGTGGGGTGATAAACTGTAGCCATTTTTGTTTAGGGTAGATGCAGAGCACCGTTTGCCAAGTGTGGCGATCGCAACCACAGAAATACATGATTTGTAGCTCTCAGAGTTGCGCACATCAGTCTCAAGCTACAGATGTTGTAGTCCTTGCACAGCAGTCGTCTGTTGTGAGGATGGTCATTCGAAATCTGCTCAAGGATGATTGCAGTGCCCTTCCAATGTTTTCAATCAGTTTCAAGGTGCCGTGTGAAGAGCCATCAGTGCAGCTGCCTTCCATCGAGTACCATTTATGCAGCAAAATTGCACCACTGCAGCAAACAACTGTTTGACAAACGCAATAATCAAGAAGTTGAGCATCTTGTCAGCCAGCACCAATACAGGGTTCAGCATGGCTGAAAGTTAATTGAAGACATTCTGCAAGGTGCACCTTGATAGAGCGAATGGCCTGGCCAGATTGTGATCATGTTCCTTGAGTGTGTGGCAGCGTGAAGTGAAGCTCCTTGCTGGCCAACTCAGTGCTGCCCAAAAAATGGCAGAGGCAGCTGTGGAGGAGTGCAACAGGTGGAGGTCGGAGGCTGAAGAAGCCCAGCACGTCGTCCTGGCAACGAGGATGGATGTGCAGGAGAGGGATACCACCATTCAGCAACTGCAGCAAAAGTGAGAAGTTTGCAATGAGAGGACATGACAAAATTAGGATGCCTTGACACGACTGGTGTTGTTTTCCCTTCCTCTCGATTTGTTTTGCTTGCAGTGCTGTTCAATACTGTGAGCTCAGCTCAATATCCTTGATTTTCAGACAGATGATCGCCAAATGTCTGCTAGCTGCGTACCAGTTCAATTTGCTGCCTTGATGCCAACTGAAGAGTCTGCCACCACACAACCTCTGAGTGAGAGCTTTTTCTTTCAACTCTGGTTCTGGCTAGATCACATGCATGTTTTGTTGAAGATCTGTGCTGTGGCACTGTTCGTCTACTTGTGCTTGTGTAGTTGGTTGGCAGAGTACAGCAGCAATTGACCCCAAGGATGGCTCTGTGACCAGGGTTTCTAAGTATCGCTCAGAAGCACATGCGCAAAAGAAAGGCAGTGAAGTGCTTCAGAAACAACTATCGGTGCTCCAGTTGGACCGGCAGGATGTGAAGAGGTGCAATGAGGAGAGGCTGAGGAGCTTGCAAGAGGAGCTGCAAGCCTGCAAGGTGACAGGAATGTTGACACATGTTCCGGGGCGGCGTGCAGTCGCAGGTGGTGGAGCGATGATTCGACAGATTTGATGCTTCCTCTGCTGCAACATTAATGCCATAGTTGGCCATCTCTTTATCGCCAGGGATATGGAATTTCTGAGAGGGTATCAATTTGGAGTGACAATCTGCTGGAAGGGACTGAGACTGAGACTCTAGAAACAACTGCCCTGAGCCTAATTCAGCATATGCGAAAATTGACAGAGTGAATATAATTGAGACGTGTGAAATTTTGCCGTTTACCTATCCAACTGTGCTTCCAAGTGGCAATTGAAGTTTAGATCTAGTCGATGCAGATTGGAATCTGCTCTCAACTGCAGATATGAAGAAATTTTCATGGACAATGGATGCCAGTACATACTTCTTTCGCATGGTTTGCAGTGAGGTAAGAACTCCCTTTTGAGGCAAAGGGAATGCATGTCAACAAACCGGATGTGCACAGCCCACGATGGCCAGCACAGCAGCTTGAAGCCTGTGTGTGACCAAGAGGAACAGGATGACTTTCCTAAGAATTGAGGCATGACTATTGTCCAGTGATGCCCTTGATAATCACAAATGCAAGCCTGTCATCTGTAGGGCCCCCTTGCCACTCAATGCTGGCAACGAATCGTAAAATTTTGCTAGAGTGCTTCTACCCAAATGGAAGAAGCTGCACCCAAACCAGCTTGTCGATTACAGGCATTTGCTGCACTCGCACTGTTTCAGCGGCAAATGTGTATTAACACTTGATAGACTCTATATAGTGTGTGTTAGTGCTTGACAGCCTCTGAGGCTGCGTACCCTGAGTACCGTTAGTAGTTGATGGACCAAGCATCCTTGTTTTGTTGGACTCCTGCGAGTGTCTTGGGTGCGCATCCCAACCCTCACATCGAACGCTTGTGGATCTCCGTACTGCTCCTGCAGCAGTGGCCGACTGTTTCGTTTGTTAGTTATACGGAAATGACGTTGCTATCCCTTGTACAGGATGAATCAGCCGAGTGCAAAGCGAAGTTCAAAGCATATGCAAATCACCACGCCACAGTTGCTTCCTCAGCAGAAGCAGCCACAGCGGAGGCAACAGCAGAAATATGTAAACTTCGCAAAGAGATGGCTGCCTTGAGGAAGAATGAACATAAAGCAAGGGAAGAGTCTGAAGCGAAGGGATTGGAGGTGGGAAGTCGGCAGCATCTGGAGTTGCAGGCCGTGTTTATTGTACACGCTTGTTTTGTTCCAAGTGTTGCGTCGCATTTCAGGTGCTGCACCCATCCTATCACCGGGGACGTGAGCCTTGTGCCACCTAACCAGAATGCGCAGGGGGATGCAAAGCCTTCAGACATTTTTTGCATTGAGATTGAGTGCTCATTCTTCGAGAGTGTAAGTGTGGCACTCTGATGGGTCTGACAATCAGAATCAAGGCAAATCATACTGGTTCATGTGCACTGTGCACGTCTTGTCAAAAGTTCATGATAAAGCGCCACTCTTAAAAAGTTAGCATGGCTGCATGCGGGCAGAGGTGCTCTTTATTGGATCCGGGGTCCTAAAAACTCTTGGAGGATTTCAGCATGTGCAGCTGCTGGCCATTGTAGGCAGCACGTTGGCGCCATGCAGCCGAATACGCAGCGGATGTTGCTGAGAAGTCACAGCAGCGCATTGTGGAGATGGAAGAGCAGCATGCTGAGGCCAAGCGACAAGGTTCACAGCCGGGCTTTGTGGAACTGACTGCTCACTGCTGCAGTGGCACTGAATTCGTGCTGGTCTCTGCTGCTTTTGCTTGATATCCATTTTGCTGACAATTTGTTGGAATGTGGCGCAGTGTTGCCCTTGCAGGTATTGCCTGATGTCTAGCTGTTCTGTTCATTCCACAGCAATGTCGACCTGTATAAGACAGCATGATGCCATCAAAGATCATCTCTTTGACAGCATCAAAGCTTAACATACAGGGTCATGTCCTTGTCCTGCTGGTTTTGCTGTCTAAGAATTTGTGCATCTGCCATGTGGGTCTGCTCCTTCCTATTCACTGGTAGAATGGGCTCTTGGGAATTGTGTTGGCTTGCTTGCAAAGGAACACAGAATGACTGCAAAGTCAGTGCCTGGACACACCTGGCACATATGTGCTAACGTTGCACCAATGCAGCTTTCCAACCTTCGGCTGTTGTGTTCGTGCAACCAAGTGAAATAAGCCATCAAAGACATCCATTGGGCACTGATGACCGTTCACGTCGCATTCCAGGTGAAGCATGGCGAATCAAGGCCGAAGCCCAACAAGGGGAATTGGACAAGCTCAGGGCAGATTGGATGTCTGTGCAAGACAGGGATGCTCGCAGGTAGCCTCACATATGCGTTAAGGAACAATTGGTCACTCCAATTTGTGCCCATTATCTTGCTGAATCTGCATCTGTGGTATGGGTCTATTCCCTGACTGTGAGGGAGCATGTGCATTGCAGAGTAGAGCCACGTACTGTAGCATGATGGAGCTCGGTCATAGCCCGTTGCAGTAATGCAGCCACAACCAAAGTCTATTTCTTGCTGTTCTGTCACAAGCCTGTATGTCCATAAGCTTGTGCTGAAGGCTGGCAATGAGCAAAACCAAGGAAGCACAGCTGCATTCTGGGAGCAGATGAAACACTCTCTTTAAGTCACTCCATCACTGTGAAGGATACGCTTGTACACATTCATTGCATACACTGTTAATACTTGCATCGACAAAATCAACAAGATCAAGAATACATTATCTTATATGATTTGTTCTGGTCTGATGTGGCCTTATCAAATTCGGTTTCATCTTGGCACATGTCTAACGCACAAGCACGTGAGCAATTAAACATAGTCTTGAGACACGTTGACATAATGCAACAGGAGCATTCATGGCTCGGCTTGTGAAATGCTGCTATCACCAATGTAGGAAGGCCTTGGATCTGAACGCTGGACTTGCTGCCCTTGCAGCATGGCAAAATTGTCTTGGATGGAGTCTGCAGTGACAGGCCCCATACTTGACTGGTGTGCTGAGTACGGCAGTGGGCCCCCAGCTGAATCAGCAGGACTGGCTCTAGAAACTTCCAAGAAATCCTGTCAAAGGAATGACCAGGGGCTGCAGCTTCAACCGGGTCTGGTTTCATCAGCCCTGCGCGCTGTGCTCGATGCGGCGTCTGCCCAACGGACAGAAGCGCAATACAGAAACCATGAGCATGAGCGAGAGCTGAAATCTGTGAGGGAGCAATGTGATCAACAACTGGAGGATGTGGTGTGCCGTTTCAAAGTGAGTGCAAATCATGACAATGGTAGTCACCAAATTGTGAGAGATTGCGCCTTTGCCCCTATTAGCCTTTAAGGAAAGCACCAATCCGGTACATGGGGGGGCCACATATCCTGATTCGTGCCCTGAATATCAAATGCATCATAAGCAGCCCATATTCCAGATGTGACAGTATCCTGGAGACACATCTCCTGGATGTGCCTCCCTTTTCTCGATTGCACATTTCTTTTGAGGAAGATGCTGCCGGTTTCAAATTGGGCAGCCAGGCTCTTTGAACAGTCCATGCTTCGGACAAAAGTTGCATATCCTGGACATAATATTTAGCATATGGGGGCTACATCCTGGGATATGGCCTGATCCTAACCCATATGAGTGGTATACAATTACTGGCTGCTCCAAATCGGTGACTTTCTGCACCAATTCGTCACTGCCTGTGCTAAGTCCCTCCAAACTAAAGTAACCTAACCCCTAAAGCCTAAATCCTAAACTAAACCCTGAATCCTAACCCTAAACCTACCCTGACCCTGACCCTGAAACTCACCGTACCCTAAACCTGACCCTCAAACTGAGGTTAGGGCATAGTGTGCACGTGATTTGGTGCAAGCAATCACCGATTTAATGCAAACAGCACTACTATTTCCATATGAGTCAGGATATGGGCGCCTCATGACATGCAGCTTCCATATCCAGATGTATGCCCATATCTTGGGTACGGCGACCACACACCATTTGATATCCAGCATATAGCGACCCTCATATCGTATTCGATGTCCAGGACATGGTACTTTCTACATATGCAGTCGTACCCAGTTTCCGTGGCTGCAGATAAATCTGCTGCTTCAAGCTTGCACAGGCACAAGGTTGACGCCAGTAATTACCGATTGATCATGATTTCTTGCGACGGCAACTGTTCGGCAGCACGCAGGTACAGCAGCCAGTCAGGCATGCCAGTTGCCAGAACGTGCCGTACTGCAATGGCACATTGGAGCAGTGCTCTGTTGTGCGTGCAGTACACCATTCCATATTGTGTCCTGGCGACCATCTGCAGAGCCCTTAGTCTGCAAGTGAGTGCTGCGGTGCTGTGTACAGGCACAGCAATCCGAGATCGCTTCCAGGCAAAGGGAAAGTGCCACAAGGTCGCAGAAGTGGAGGGAGCAAGCCGGGACCCTGGCAGCGGAGGTCGTCGTTTTGAAGACTGAACTTGCAGCTTTCACAGAAGATGCAAAGCGCCATTTGCAGGTGATTTGTTGTAGGAAGGAGTCCCAGCTGCGCACTCCTTGGCAAACTTGCTGTGTAAGGCGCCCATTTGTTTGTCTCCAGTAAGCTTCTGGAAACAGTTTGATTTGGTTGTATGCTTGGCTACTGCTGATGCTGTTTTGGAATCATACAAATTTGAAGTGAATTGGTGCATCAGTGTGGCTTATCTCACTGGCCAGGCTGAGCCATTTTGTGAGCGTCGTAAAGTCCAACGGATTCACGGTTGTTGAAGTGCCACACAGATTAAGACTGCTTGAGCCTTGTATGCGTTGATGACTGCTGTATGATGTTCAGGTTTGCTCAGCATACAGCGAGCTCCCATCCACATATTGCAAGAAGTGTGTTCATGGGCCGTAGCAGTGCCAGGCTCAGTACAAAAATATATGGAAAAATGCAATATCAATAGCTGAGGCCTGACTTCGGCTTCTGTTTGCTTCGCATCTGTTTGCCGCTCGACTCACTCTGGGGCATTGTGGCTGCAGGAGGGCTGTGAGGCATTGTGCGACCTTGCAACATCGGCCTTGCAAGGAGTGGAACAGCGTCACATCCAGGAAGTAGATGCCCTGCAGCGGGGCACGGAAGAGGGAATGGAGAGGGAGAGGGCTCTGCGGTCGCGGGCCGAAGAGCTGCTGCGACGCAGTAACCAGCTGGACAGCGAATTGGTGAAGTCGGTAAAATCGAAACAGATGCTGGCTGAAGAGGTGATCAGCAGACTCCCCATCCGATGCCCATGTTAATGCTGGCATTGCTGCAGGCAGGCAGCAGGTTCGTGTCTGCTGTGCTGCTGACTTTCGTCAGAGTTGTGGACACTAGAAATAGAAATTCTCAGGGACCCCCCCCCCAAAAAAAAAATGGAAGAAAAGAAGAAAAGAAAAGAAAAGAAAAGAAAAGGAAAGGAAAGGATACAAACACACGGTTGAGTTTGCAAGACGTAGCTCCAATCCAGCACATGGTGCCCTCACCGTGCTGGCTTTCCAGCTGCCGAGCAAGATCATCGCCTGTATGATTGCCGACAGTGTGATGGCAGTATTAGACCTGGACCGGAATTGGGCGAATTGGGCGACTTCACTGCCGGTGATTGCAAACTTTTGATGACGCAGGTAGCCCACCTGGGGAACCGCCTCAGCTGCGTGGACCAGCGCTGGAGGGCGGAAAAGGAACGTTTCATGTACCAACTCCTGGAGAAGGGTGAGCTTTGCGCCTCACTGAAGAAATCGCGTTCATGGAATGGCCAAAGTGGGCTGCGCACATAGCTTGACTTCGATCTCAGAGCATTGATCTTTTGATGCAACATTTACAATTTCACGTGGTACTCCTTGTCAACCTGCGGAAAATCGCATGGTAGCTTGAACGACCATTGGCATCATGGTATTGCTGCAGTATCCCTGCATGATGTGCTGTAAGACGTGCATGAAGCGCACCGTTGGCGACCGTTTCCGTCAGTGCATTACTACCGTTAGGCAAACACTAGGAAGCACTAGCGAGCACAATTGCGTCATTCTTACATTGTGGTGATGCATTTTCGCACTTGACAACCCCAGTGATTTATCGACGTTCCGGTGTGACTCGCCTGCTCCAATCTCTACAAAATGGCGCCCATTCACCAGTCCCTGTGAGCGTCGAGCAGAGCTGGACGATTCGAACGGAAATTGTCGATTCTCTCGTTCGTGTCATGGCACATTTCCCATCCGCCCCCCCTCCCCCCTTGATTGGATTCGATTCTCTTCGATTAAAGGAGAAAGATGTAAATCAGGCTGGGAACGAAACCATCGGCGACCACCCAATGCAACCCTTCCGGACTGGTTTGATTTTGAACCAACACTAATCAATTTTGTACTACGTTTGTGATGTACTGGCGTGCGAATTGTTGTGGCCCTTTGTTCGATTGCGAGTTATGTACGGGATTACTGTGCTGTACAATTATTGCGTGTTGCGTGTCAATTAGATTGCTGCCTAATTGTTCGTGTAAGTGCCGATTGGAAACTGCCGATATCGAACAATTGCTCCAGAAAAGGACATGGCGACACTCAAAGGCCAGCTGGACGATTCTGAGCGCGCTCTGCTTCAGCTACGTCGACAGTCACAGTCAGTGGATGCGCACGCCGCCCAGAAGCAGGTAGGAAATGCCAAAGTCGCGGAAACCCCCTCTTGAAGGTTCCCCGCTGCATCTCTTCCTTGATCACTTTGTTTGCAAGGGCCCTACCTTGGGGTCAGAACTTTTTTGATTGCGAATTCTCTCGGAGAGCAGTTTCGAAAGGCAATGAGGCGCTGTTTCCTTGTGCACAAAAGGTCCTTCAGCCTGTCAAACGAAGCGGATTGAATCAGGCAGCGGTTACTTGTATCGCCGGGTTTCATGCTGTAACATGTATTGGCAACGGTAGCTCTCGTCCCCCCATTGCCCATCATCGCCTTGGACGTTCATTTCTATTCACAACCGTGCTTTGGAGATGGGAGCTTTTCAAGCGAAGTATATGCATCCTTCAGCTCCAGAAAAATTACTGGAAGTAATACCAGTAATTTTGAGCGACGCTGCTGAAAATAGCATGCACAGCACATAATCCAGGCACCCGCTGCATTTGAAGCGCACTGATGCAGAAGCGATATTATTAGCTCTTTTGCAAGCACTGTGCGCCGGGCCAGGGGGTGGCACAAGGAAGCATGCCAGGATCTGCACTGGGCATGCGTAGGACCACGCCATTGAGCACATGATCGCCTAAGGATGAGTACACAAGGCAAGGAACGCAAAGCCAACAAAACATGCACTCAGAGGGCCCATATGAAAGGTGGAGAATGTGCGGAAGGTCAAGTGTGAATTAGGCCTCCAAGGATCTGCCCGCAATACCCAGCCACCCGATACTCAACTCCCAACAAACTTCCCAAAGGAAAAGCCCCTGGCGAACCCCGACGACCTCGTGTATACGTCCCGGGTTGGTGGGTAGGTGGGGATAGGGCCTTCCCCAAAAAGCTGACGCGCTGAAAAAATGCAGAGCAACAAAGCGTAACAATAAGTTGTCTGACCCCGAAGCGCTGATTGTTTTATGACACTTTGCTGAATTGCAACAGCCCGTGCATGCTAATATGATATCGTTAAATGCATTGTTAGTATTGTTTTTGGTAACCAATATACCAGTGAAAAGTATTTCCCATCGCTTAATTATACAGTGTTGAGGCGTCAAGTTTCTCTAGCGTTCCAACCTGCGGGCTGCAGATCTCTGCACTGGAAAAGGGGACATGCAGCTTGAGACACTGGCATCAGGAAAAAGATAAATGAAACACCTCCACAGGGATAGGTTCCAGGTGTGCACGTTTGTCTTGGTGAAGGTGTCGGCTACATGACGCCACAGAAGAAGGTTTGCGGATGCATCAGTGTCTAGGCAAACAGCCTTTGTGCAGTGTATGCTGCGCCATGCATCCCGGGCAACGGTCAATGCCGTATCAATGCACAAGAGCAAACAGTGAACATTTTGGAACATGTACTGCCGCATAGTCTCACATCCTGCCGCAGCGAACTGTACCTGCAAGTTGCGACTATTTTCCATGCATTGGATTTCATTGCAAGGTAATGTGTCTCATCATACGGTGTTGTAACTGGACGCGTCGGAGCGCATTTGACAGCAAAATTTGGGGACCGTGCTCACGACAGGAGCACATTCTGAATCTTGAAAAGGAGGTGCGGCGCCTGTCGGAGGCCGCAGACACGAGTGGAGTGGCTCTGGAGAAGGCGACCGAAAAAAATCGATGCCTGGAGGACCTGGCGTGTCACAATGAAGGCATCGTGCGGCGGCAGGAGGAACAAATAGAGGAGCTCAACAGGTGATTACTTCGCCCATGACGACAGACACATGTCCATTTCATAAAAATGTCTATTTCATAAACATATCCATTTCATGCACATTCATTCAGTGCATAATTGTTGTCAGGTTACTCAATGCTGGTGTACACCATTGCATTGGTAGCATCAATGTTGCGTGATTCAGCGTTATTTACGCACGAAATTGGGCCCGTTGTTAACATTGCTTGCATTTAAACAAATCGTGCACTCCTCAACTGCTCTCGGGATCCTGTCGCACCATGCCCGAAAAATGGAGAGCAAAACGAGAATGATGTTCAAAGATGATCGCAGATGGAAGATTTCCGGAAGGGCACTGTCACATCGGCAACAGATGACGACAATTCAATGAATTTGCTGTGGTAGTTCTCCGCGATCCTCACCAACAAAGCCAGCGTGACGTTTTCGTAGTACTCCCGTGCATTCGCTGCATGCATGATCCAAAAATAGGCAACAATACATTTTCCACCATACTCGTGGTAGTACATGTGTTGGTCAATGCAATTCCATACAGAAAACTGCTACCCTCGGTCACGTAAATAGCAACATCACCAAGAATAGATGTATACATATATTTACATCCCAGTCTTGGTCAGGCGTACACAACAAATTTTGCCAAATCCTGTCTGACCGGTCCACTTTACGTAACCACCATGTCCATACCATTTTGCGACCCAACCTTGCATATACCATGCAAGCTTGCACATGGGAGACTCTGTACTTCAGTCACTGTGAATCAGTAACCAAGATGGATCAATAACTACTCATACAATCCAGCCCCTGCCATCATTCGTGGACCTTCTCACCACGTTATCGTTCAGTATCCTTTCATGCAAGCAGCTATTGGACGTAAACATGCACTCTATGTCCGACCCAGCTCTAGGCCATCACATAACTCATGCTCAATTACCCAGCATTCCGGATCGCAGTCGGTCATGGGTCAGAAATGTCCCTGGTCTCGGTCGAAACACACATACACGCCCCACTGCATGCACCTACCTTTGCCAGCCGGGTGAAACGGACTTTCAGCGAGGCCCTGATAGTCGTAGGCGGTCGTGCCCCATCTACCCCAGTCGGTCCGGGTACCCTGAGCATGCTCCACAAACAGCCAGCCTCCGGGGAAGCTTCCACGAGCTCATGGGCAGCGCACACACAACAAACAAATAGGTTATAAGTATTTCAGGCTTGTTCAGCAACAAGAAACTGTCCCCTCGGGTCCCCATTGATTAAATAACCTTGCAGCCTACCGTGTTCCCTTCTCATTCATTTTGAACCTCACCCCCCACGTCCCTCACTCAGAACTCTGTCCCAAACGTGCGCCTGTGGTCTCAACCTGCCAATGCAGCTGGTTGCACCACCAGAAGAGCGTCCTGGCTGCCATCTTTGCACAACACCTCCACCGAACCCCGGCGCAAGCAAAACGGGCGTGTCAATCACGTGTCCTTGCACAAGAGATCCGTGGCCCTGAGGGCCAGAAGGGTATCCCACTGACTACCCTTGCACGGGTTTCTGGGGTGCTGTAGTGGTCTACACGCAATCCCAGTACTGAGGGATGCCTCCCATTATCTTTCCGGCGTTCTGACTACTCAGCTACCCTTTCGCTCATGTCTGACTCAGTCAGTGCCGCCCCATTTTCACGTAATGGTCTGCGAATTGTGCAACACTTTCCCGTGTCGCTCGTGCATCTACATTGGAGTGTTCGAACTCCTTTAAGACCACTGTCAGAAATGCCTTTCTATCACTGAATCGGTGGCATACTGGGGCCATCCAATTCAGAGAGGTCATTGGACATGGCTGTGAATGCACCAAGACGAGTACCAATAAGACAAAAATGTCTGTTCATTACAGTCCATTTTGTGGTAATTCACACAATCCCTTTTTTTATCTATCGTACAACTGTTCGTGACGCCACATAATGACCACCGTTTTCACTGGGTGGATCACTTATGTAACTGGCGTACGAGGGGTATCTGCCGTATGCGCTGTATGCACTGCATGGGATGGCCCGAGTATGCCACCATTGCTGAATTAAAAAGAAAAAGAAAACAAAGAGGAAACACTCCGAAAATGGGTTATGAGCGGACAGCTGCAAACCTTAGGAGTGAGAACGAGGGCGGTGCAAGGTTAGGGAGACAAGGGCTGGATATAAGATGCCACCCTGTGTTCTCAATAGATCGGTGTCACCAGTCAGCTCCCCAGACTGACTGGGTTCAAAGACGATTCTGGGAGGTCCTGGACCTCAAGGGCCCAGGCTGAGTGGGTGAATTGGGGTGAGCCTAGCTAGCACATCCCTGGTCTGAGAAAGACCATCTGGGCTGCCTGACCTGACGAGGAAAGGCGTATAGTCCAGTAATTCACATGAAAAATGGGGTTTCATGTGATGTGTAAGGTTACGTTCAAGCGGAGGTCTTGAAATGCACTTACACACACAGGTCTGACATGGCAGGTGTGCTGGCTCTGTGGGATTTCAGAGACCGGACACGGTGTCAGTCCTTGTGCTATGCAAGGCTGTTTTTAGCTCTCACACTAAAAACCCTGCATGCACTAAAAGTCATGGGCCAGGATGGCCATGACAAGTTCAGCACACGATTAGGGTGAGGGAGTGAGAGTCAGAAGTAGGTTGACTCCCCTCACCCTGTGTGTTGAAAATACTGTTTTACACTTCCCCCATGGTTGGCTGTGCAAGCCATACTGATTTGGGGCAAAAGTGTTTAGTTATTGTGAAAAAATGGTAATCGTTTGGCCTAGTGGAGAAAAGGGAATGTGTGAGAGTTTGATGGTTGGTTTTAAGAGACAAATGCACCGGATTGTGCATGGTCCTGTGAAAGGACCGACAGCCCGTCCATTGCATTCTGAATGGGGAGGGCTGACTACTTTTGTCAGACCCTTAGAAAGGGTTGTTTTGTCTTTAAAGTGGTTGTGTGAAACACCACTTTCTTTTCTACGTTTGGCGCAGCTGCCAATGTGCTGTAAAAAGCCCCCATGGGTCAGGCCCGCTTCCCCTGTTGTCTGTGTGACACGGGGGTGGGCTGGCCATGCGCTGTGTGTGGGGCGCACGGGTGCAAGGGCGTTTTTTTATGGTTTTGTGAAAGCACCTGTCACTGTTCTGATTTGGCAGCACCGCGGCTCCCAAACCCGTTGAATGTCAGGCGGTACACTTTGATTCTTGTACTACCATGTATACTTGACACCTGTGAAAGGTGGAGCGCGTTGCAAGCTTAATAAGTCTGCTGGTGCAGCCTCAGGGATCATCCCGTTTGATCCCCTTGGCACACCGTCGGGCCTGGGCGCTGGCGGGGACCTTAGTAGCCCCCTAGCGGCCCGACACGCGGGCGCACGTTTGCTCTGACCGCGGGAGCACTGACCGAGACCGGTGTGGGTTGCAGCATGGCGCGGAATGCCTCACGCTCTGAGCTGGCCCTCGGCGCGGACTCGGACGAGTGGGGGCCGGCGGAATGGCTGGCCGTTTCGGCGGCGGTGGCAGATCCGCGTGGATGGCGGGAGGCCCACATCGTGAACCGGCGGATGGGGATGGATGGCGATTCCTACGTCGCCATCCAAGAGACGGTGTGGGTTCCCGAGGCGAAGGGCGGCCAAGCGCGCCGCAACGCCCGCCGCGCTCTGCGCCGTTCGCTTGACCAGAATCCGGGCAATGGGGTCGATGCGCCCGTGAGATTGGAGGCCGCGCCCCCCGCGGAGGGGGGCGCTGGGTCGGATGGTGCGCCCCGCGGAGGGGATGCGCTGGGCTTGCGGCACGCGGGGGAAAGTCGCCGGGGGGGAAGACCCGCGGGCGCTGTCGGCACGCCTTCCCCTCCGAGGAGGAGGAGTGGGAGGCGATGCTTTTCGGGGTGTCCGTCGAAGGGTTGGAACTGGGCACGGAGGACCACAGGGCCAAGTGCCGTCGGACCGGCGGGTGTGACTACGCTGCCGGGGAACCCGCGGGAAACTGGTTCCCCCCTGGTTTCACGGGGCCCGTCACGCCGGAATCTGGGCCCGTAGGGCCCAGTGAGGTGACCCTGCAGGAGGCAAAAACAGGGCCAGCACCTGAGGAAGGTGCTGACCATGTGACCTCGCCAAAGGAAGCTTCTAGGCAGGGGGAAACCAAGGCAGAGGGTATAGGAAAGTTAGGGGAAGATGTGAATTTAGTTTTGCATACTAGTTTTCATGGGGACCTAGACGTTGAGTGGGAGGTGGTGCACCAAAGTAGTCACCTAGTCCATGTGACAGGTGAGGTGGCTTGGGCAACCAAGAGGCTGAGAGACATAAGGCCACTAGGGAATAATAGGTACCCCCCACAAGAGGCAAGAGAAAGTGATACAAAAAATGAGCTATGTGCACTTGTTGGGGGGTTGAAAAGGCAGCCTAGGTTGTTCTCCCTTGAGCCCCAGCACCATGGGAAGTATTTAGCTAGGTACCCAAAGAGGGTTCAGGTTCTAGCCACCTGGATTCGAAGCCACGAATTCAGCAGTGTTGCATTTTATATGCATTCACTGCTGGAAACTTTGGCGAAAGCTCAAGCATGTTCAAAGAGACACATTGCCATGGAGAAGCTGCCACAATGGTGGCTTGAATACGTCATGGAGTTTCGAGAGAAGAAGGAGCAAGTAAAGGAAGAAGAAAAAAGGGTGGCAGAGGTCCAAGATAAGGTAGAGAGAATGTTGATAGAGGAAGCCTCTAAGGCACCTCTGCCAGCCCACCTTGGACTCTTTGATGAAGATGACAGGATGTGTGATTCCTGAATGAGCCTTTGGGTGGAAAAAACATAAAAATGATAAAAAGGAAGTGCGCTTTTTTCTAAAGTTGTGTGAACATGAGCAGGGGGTCTTTTGGTTTGGAGTTGCAAGGCGTTGTTTATACTTGTTGAGTGTGCATGCTTGATTTCAACGGGTTTTGGTTAGTTGTGGTGTAGTTTGGGACACTTTACATTGACAAGTTTAATAGAAAACGATGTCTCAACCGCTGTGGGGACGCAGGCCGCTGACTGGACTTTACACATGCTTTATGTGTGTCTTACTATGTAATGAAGTGAGCGTTTGGCCATAGAATCTCTGGGGTGGCCGTGTGCAGCGCTGGTGATCGTTGTGCGGTGCAGCAGGGCTCACAACGTTGTGTTCTGACCGGTCAGTGGCTGTGGGTCTGTGACAGGGAATAATCTGTGATTTGATAGGTATCTTTAGATCTTGTGGGCCCCTCCCGTCCGCGTATTTGAGCTGGCGGCGGCGGGGGAGGCGTGTCCTTGCCGTTTGCTTGCGTTTGGAAGTTGGCGCTGCTGTTGTGGCTTTGGACGCTCAAGTGTAAGGCCTTTGAGCCGTGTTTGGCAAGGCTTCTCTGTCTCCAGCGGTACCCGAAGGTGTGCCCGTCGCTGAATGTGTGTCCTGCCTTCGTCGTGGTTGGCACTGCAAGGGGCGAGCCGTTGGCAGCCCTCGTTCCGTGTGTTGGTTGTTTACCCCGACGGGGTCTTGCTTCAGCTCCCAAACGGGACTGTTGTTTATCTTTCCACCCGCTGAACGTGTTCGCACAGCCCTGCGAGAAGCGGCGGCGTGTTTTGTGACTGTGTTGGCTGTGTGTGCAAGTGTGTTCCGCGCCTAGAAAGCGCCAGAGCCAGCGCAGGGTGTCGTTCGAAGCGCACCCGTTTTTTCGAACCGGCTGCGTTGGTGTCGGCGGTACCACGGGTCAGTAGGCCCGGCTGGACGTGAAACCACACGTCCTAACGTGCTGTAAACGTGCGCCAAACGCCGTGAAGGCGTGCGCTCAGCTGTAAACTTGCATATAAGCTTGCTGACACGCCGAGGAGGCGTGTCGTGTAGCGCTCTGTGGTGTTGTTTCCCTCGCAGCGCTGTGCATACTCTGACGGGGTTGGGCGTACAGCTGTGTGCGTGTCGACTGCCGGTTCGCAACGCGTGACTTGCTGCGAGGACGGTGAGGGAGGCACGCAGCACTGAGGAAGTGCTGAGAAGTGTTTTGCCGTGAAGGCGAACACAAAAAGGCGGTGAATAGCACAGTTGTAGGCAGTGCTGTGAAAGCACTGCTGTATTCGTGCGACTGCAGCTGTCCTACCGTGTTGTGAGTGGGGTACTGGACTCATAGGTATCGAAAACACCACTCAAAGGAACCCAGTGAGACCCCCAGGTCATTTTCGATGATTATGGTGGGCCTTCGCGAACATTTTGCAGAAATTCCGAGAAATGCAAGTGGTGCGACTGCAATGAATCCGCCACTGCTGAAATTTGTGTACTTTCGAGAGCTTGCAATACGCTTGAAACCAGATGAACAGCTCGGCGCACTGCAACGAGCTTTCAAAGAAATTGTCATATGAAAATGGATGGGAGCATCACCAGTACAGACGATATGCACCAATCTCATCAACGCATAAACACACACAGTTGCTGCGCATTACTATGATTAAACGTTGGTTTGAGTGGGCCTGCCTCAACACGCACCGGGCGATGCTAAATTGCATCACATGCATGCTATCTCCTTATTCACTGTTTCTCACACTGGTAGACAACGGCGTGTCTGCGATGCCAACTGCGATGCTATTTTGACACAAAATGATGCCGTCACAGTGATTGCGATGGCATAAGAGCGGCTGCGATGACATCAATTTGTGTCAAATGGCGTCGCAATTGGCATCGCAAACAGCCTGTTTTCTACCGGTGTCATCCACTCGCTCACCAATCCATTAACTTGTATCTCTGTTCCCTACCACTTCTGAGATGTACCGAGAAGCACACATTTTTGTTTTGGATTTGCTACCATTTTGCTTGCTTGCTGTTTTGTAAATTTTGTTAATGTCGCAGGCGCCGTCGGCCACGGCGGTCACTACCACTCGCAGAGCCCGGAGAGTTTCTTCACGCACGTGCCAGGAATGGTCGTCGTCGTGCCGAGCTCTCCTGCAGATGCCAAGGGTAGGCGTCTGCGCGCCCGCCCATGAGGCAATGGAATGGTCCTATGGCCTCCATGTATCACAAAAGGAGGCCACAACGAACTGGTGATCTCGTGGCCTCGAATCAAGCGAATCAGTGGAGTGCAGCGTTGCCACAGATTGATGCCAAAACTGTGTCGTCGCCCATTGTTTGAACCTTTCTCGGGCCGTGGGACTTGAGGGGGCTAACACTATGTGTAAGTTGCTCTACTGCTATGGGGTGCGCCGAGTATGCGAAGCGTGACCTAATTGGACACTGTCACACGCAGCTTGCAAGGGATATTTCAACTTGTGGGTAAGTATTGGTGAAGATAAGGATTGCTGCATTCATCAGTTTGGCTCATCACTGCCAGCGCCTGCAAGGCTCAGGGACCGCGGTTTGGTTAGTAAACTGAAAGGGACCTTAGGAGGCGTGAACATTGGCGCTTGCCTTCTTTCTCACTGCTGAAGGACTAACTTTGAATGGCAGTCGAGCCCACATGAATGTTGACGCACAGTACGTTCAAGAATTACCAGGTTGGTGCCAGTAGCCCATGTGCATGTTATCATTTTTGACTTCAATTTGGCTTTCTGGAGGCTGCACAAGGTCTAAGTGTGGATCCTTCTTTCTTTACTTGCAGGACTGCTGCTGGCGTGTATTGAGCGAAAGGACCCCGCCTTGTTTCTGGAACCCAAGATACTGTGAGTAAACAATGTGTAACGACGTAATAATGCAGTAATTTTCTGTGTCAACGTAGTAATGTAAACGTGTGCAGTGCAAATCCTCGATGGCGGGAAATTGACTTGAAGCGCCATTCCCACTGATTGCCCGCCGCAGCGCCTTGGCGTTTGATACCCACTGGGTGTCAACCGTTGGACTAGAACTCCAGTGCCGTTTGCAGCGCTGCCTGTCCAGCATCGCGGAACTCGCCGGAGGGGACACCAACCCTGACTGGGGCCTTCCCGGATATGGACGGCGTTTTTTTTGGCGGTGCCAACGAAACCCTGAGATGGCACAAATTCTATAGCCCGAGCGGGCAATATTTGATACGCCGGAAAACGGGTACTACTAGTCTTCTTCCTGTGGTATCTGGAGGGCATTGTCTGTACTCCCAGTGGGTAACGTGGTCGGTTCTTAGGGCGAAACAAATGCATGGTGAATGTGTTGCGTTAGCAACCGAGCGCATTCACGCATTTCTGACGGATGAGCAGGATGGCCGTAGAACCGGCTCCAATGTGTGCTTCATGGCTTAACTTGCAGGACTGCACGGTTTAGCACGTGGGTCAATCGAAGTTCATCAATCTTCGCGCACAACAATAGTGCGTCGATGGACACTGAAGCCGCGTGGAAGTACGCCAAGCCGCTGGAAGTGATTCACACGTACAGTGGATGTTATTGACAACACTGTTATTTCCAATAGATATGGCCCATGCAAACGACTCGATCAATCCTCTATTCTCGTCACGTCAGGTAGACTGGATTTTTTGTTGCTTTTCAGATGCGGTTCCTCATTCCTGATCCTTCAAAGCCAGCCGAGCCACGAAAAGACCGCCCCAGAAATCCGGGTCCGACGCAAAATTCTGGGACCGACACTTTGGGTCCCCATGTTGGGAAAAGTGGTATAAGGGTTAGTGCTTTGCAGTGTCTGCTTGTGCCAGCTTCGAACCTGACGCCAACTGACTGTGCTATAGGTACCGCTCGTCCGTTGGCGACGTGCCAGAGGGTCACTACACTGTGCCGCTCAGCAAGGCGCACGTCGTCCGGCGAGGCAGCGACATCACTCTCGTGGGCTGGGGCGCGCAGTTGCACGTCCTGACAAAGGCGGCTCAAGAAGTCTCGGAAAAGGTTGGACCAGTGGGTCCCATGCCACGCATTGCATCCCTCATCGCCTTGTGGGCGTCAGAACTTGCTTTGATTTGTGGATGAAGCGACCAAGTCTGGTGGTATCCACACTACCAAATTCGAAGTGCTAACTTACTTAAGTTTGTTTGTTTCAAGAGATGTTCGGTTTAATTGGTTCACATAATGCGTGGCTTCCGTTCTGAGTACATTGAATTTATGACGGTAGCGCATTCCTGTGATGTAAACGATTTTGGCGCGATGAGGCGCTGCGTGATGTCCAGCATTGTGCCACCGAAGTGTGAAATGTTATGTAAAAAATATTCTCCGTCCAGTTGAAAGACGTATATTTGGAACGCGTGCCACAGTCGCACAGAAGATAATAATGAGCGCATGTGCTCGATTGTTGATCCTGATTTGACTTTTGATATTTGATATTTTTGTTGATCTTGATGGATATTCGATCCCACGAGCTTAGCTCCCACACGACGGGCGCCATTCCTTTTGTCCAGCGGATTGTGAGCACACATCACCTCTGATATCGTCATCAACGCATGTAAAACTCCTGTGCGACTACATGCTTCTGGGCGAGCGCTTCTGCTGTGAGAGCACTCTGCTGTGCGAGCGTGTACTTAGAGCTACAAACCTCCAGCTCTGCAGTCACTGCGAGTGTCCGGTACATTCGCCAACCTAACGTCGGCACTAGCACAACGCAACAGCTGGAGATAATAGTATTAACTCGCATTAAACGCCTTTCAGAGAAGAATTGGTGCCAGCAAGTACTGTCATGTACCGGGCCTCATGCTTGCTTTCTCAAAACTGCCTTGTTTGCAGGACGGCATTTCCTGCGAGGTCATCGACCTGCGCACGCTGCTCCCCTGGGACGCTGCCTGCGTGGAGGCCTCCGTCAACAAGACGGGCCGCCTGCTGGTCAGCCACGAGGCGCCGCTCACCGCCGGCTTCGGCGCCGAGATCGCCGCGCGCGTCTCCGCCAGGTGCTTCTCGCGGCTGGAGGCGCCGCCCGCGCGCGTCTGCGGCATGGACACGCCCTTCCCGCTGGTCTACGAGACGCTGTACTTGCCCACAGCTCTGCGGGTCGCGGAGGCGGTGAGATCGACTGTCAACTTCTGATCGCGGTGCTGCAAGTGCCGCATTCATTCAGGAAGTGTTGTTCAGGAAACATTGCGGGTCGAGGATGCGACGCACTCGAGCCGTGAGCTTTTCGGTCGTTGTGGGCGCGCTGCGCGGTGCCAAAACACTTTGCAGTCAGAAAATGTATCAAGCCATATCGAACGAAAATACTTAAAAGAAAGGAGGGGGGAAGATTGAACTTGAAAATGCGACGAAAAGCTCGTATTAACATGACGATACAGTTAAGACAAGATGCTGGTGGGCGTTTTGTGGGACCCAGAGCAGGGAGGCCCCCAGCTGAGATGCGGAGGAGTGGTGCATTCTAGTTTCTATGGGGGTGGGAGTGGATATGCGTGCTGGGACTTGGGCGAGTGGGGGATAATTAGGTGGCAGCCGTGCGAAGAGGGGCCGGCTGCGGGGTGTGGCAATTTTCAGCGTTTTGCGTGGCAGCTGGGGGGGGGCGCTTGGCGCAAATGGGGTACGAAAGGTAGCTGTAGAGGCAGCGAGTGGAGAGTTGCGCCATCTTTGTTGTGACAATAGGAGTGTCGTGTGGTGCGGTTTAACATAGTGGCGCATGGAGGGTGGGTGTGGCCCGGTCACACTATGCACAATGCGGTGCCATAAGTGGACGTCCAAAGAAATGGACCGTCTCCTGGATATTGGGTCGCTTTACTCTGGGCATGCAGCTGCCACCTGGACAAGCACATCGAACATTTATGTAAATTCGCATCCGTCGCCCCTGTCAGTCCGGTGACTACCTGTGACTGCCAGGGTTGACGAAGTGAAATATCTATTAATTTCATTGAGAATACGGATCAGGAACAGATCAGCGTGAATCCTCTTCTCTTGGGGAAGGCAACCCGAAGAGTGCACACCAGCGTCTCCAAATTGACGCCGGGGTAGATGCACCTAGTCCCAACAGTCGCCTCCCGCACAGCCTCGCGCTTCGCGGACGCTCCATCACAACCCGAGGGCCATCCAAATCTTTGGGCCGCCCTTTCCACATTTCGGACACCTTGTTTTACAATACCGAACATGTGAATGTAGAAATCCCGAAAACGAGGCCCGCCGCTACAGGCGACGCAAGACACAAGCATCACAGCCAAGGTTGTCAGCAGCGCCAGCGCTGCCAGCGTCACCACCCTCAGCAGCGTTCCCCAAATCACCAGCGCTGCTGCCGTCACCATGGAAGGAACCCTTTCCGAGGCGCTTCCTTGACACCCACGTAGTAGCCACCCCTGTTGCCCTTGACGATCCTGAGGTCTTCGTCCAGGTACAGGTAGTCCACAAAGCCGGAGCCGTCGTTGGGAATGTCCACATTGAACCTTCGAAGCCATCAAGTCAAGTCAGCCACATGCTTCATGAGCGGAGTGCGCAGGAGCACGCAAATTACCACCGGGCAGATACTCTACTGGACAAGATGAACCGACCTGTATTTCTATCCAAAGCAACTGAACTGTTGTTCGCTGCATCTTGCACAGCACCGCGGCAATGCAGTTTGCCTGCAATCACCTCCTGAGGTGAACGGGCATTGCCAAAAAGGGGCCAGAAAGCCCCTGTACACAATGTTTCCATCACACGTTCAACTTCCGGCCGGCATCCATAGATGACAACGACAATGCTTGTGTTTCAGCATATCCATGTGGAATGCAGCTGCCGCAACATGAGTTCGGGTGACATCATCGATTGCAGTCGTCTGTCAGCCCTGGTCACCACCTCCGACTGCTTGAGAGGTCCAACAGGAAGGGCAGGAAGGGGGGAAGGGTGTGGTTTAGCATAATTGTGGCAATGCGCATGCAAAAATCGCCGGAGCGTTACTTTATACAGAATCAATTCATTTGGCTATTTTCGTGCGCTATAGGCTGAGTTAATGCTTCGCATGGAAGAAAGAAGGGAAATTGACAAAAGAGGGTCCTCTGTGAGATATCTTGACAAAAGGGGGTCCTCTGCGACAAAAGGGGGTCCTCTACGGGGGTGCATTTGACAAAAGGGGGTCCTCTGACCGCCCCCTATACATTAGGCGCGTTGCCAGACCGGCGCCGTACCGGCAAGCCGGTCCTAATAGGGGCAACCCCACAGAGGACCCCCTTTTGTCAAATGCACCCCGGCAGAGGGACCCCTTTTGTCAATTTTCCTCTAAGGGGTGTCGTAGGCGTTAGTGGGGACTTGGCGATGCCACATAAACGCCCCCCCCCCCCCCCCCCCCCCCCCCAAACCCCCAACCCCCCAACCCCCCAACCCCAACCCTCCCTTTGGTGTCTCTTGAAAGCAACACACCATAATTGACCACGTCACTCCTTCAAAGCCAGTGCAGTCTTACCAACCAACCAAATGTCCGACCGAGTAGAATCGATCGTTAACAGATCAGAGATCAAACAGGAATCAACGGACTCGGCAAGGCTCCAGCTCATCATGGAGCGCCTCGTATTTGTATTCAAACTAGCACATTAGTACATCGTTATTGTCTTTGGCACTATTCCCAACCTTCCCCAGTACAACTCCGGCTAAGAAAAGTCCCTTTTCCATCCCCAATACACATTATAATGTGCATATCATGGAATAGATCACCTTTTGATCCTACCCTGTAGCATGGCAGCGGCACAGCCCAAACACGGCCTGGCCATGCCCCAACCATGGCGCCGGCATGCTCTAACCCTGACAGCTCATCAACAGCTAGTCATACACCTTGTAAAAAAGGTCCCGTGTCCTTCCTAGTACTTCACACATAGTTTAGTCATACTTGTGCTATGGTGTCGGCACGCCCCAAACATGGCGCCGCCACACCCCAATCATGGCGCTGCCATGCCCCAACCATGGCACCGGTACGCTCTGATTCTGACCACTCATCATGGGACACTGTCCACGCCGCCAGGGTGGTCAAACGTGATATTTTGGTGATGGTAGTTAGTCCTTGTACTTGATAACACCTTGTGGAAAAGGTCCCTTGTCCTTCCCAGTACTTCACACATAGTTTCGTCACACTTGTGCCATGGCGTCGGCACGCCCCAGCCATGGCGCCGCCACGCCCCAACCATGGCGCCACCACGCCCCAACCATTGCTTTTCGATGGTTAAAGTCTTGCAATCTAATCCTAATATATGCAGTTTTTATCCTATAGTTCCTCCACTTAAAACTTCTTCCCCTCTGTTATGAAATCATCCCTTTTGGTCCTCTTTTTAACCTTTTTCTGTTGGGTTTTTAATCAATGACCGGTGCATAAATGGCCTTGATTTGAGGTGATTTCAACATGTTTTAATTATATGCAAGTGGTCTTCAAAAAAATACATATATCATTATGAGCAATGGCATGATTGCGTCAGTATGGCGTGGTTTCTAGGCTCAATGGTCATTTCTCCAGCTAGACGTTGGTAGTGACTTCACTTTACAAAGGCCCTCTTACAAAATCAAAGTGCTACAAGTGTCTCGTATGTACCAAAGCCTGTGTGTTGTAGACTTCACACCAGAATCCACCAAAGGTGGGGCTCGGGTGGGGGGGAGGGGGGGGGGCATTTAAATGACATCGCCAAGTCCTCACTAACCCCTACGACACCCCTTAGAGGAAATTTGACAAAAGGGGGTCCTTTGCAGGGGTGCATTTGACAAAAGGGGGTCCTCTTCGGGGTCGCCCCTATTAGGACCGGCTTGCCGGTACAGCGCCGGTCTGGCGCCGGTCTGGCGCCGGTCTGGCAACACGCCTAATGTACAGGGGGCAGTCAGAGGACCCCCTTTTGTCACAGAGGACCCCCTTTTGTCAAGATATCTCACAGAGGACCCCCTTTTGTCAATTTCCCAAGAACAAAACAGTGTGCACTTTGTGCACTGTGTGCTGGCCAAACAGTCAAAACAAGAAATCGACGAAGAGCAGCCAGCGCACAAGCAGCACAGCCGACGCACAATAACGTGGCGCAGCATCTTTGCAGCACCTTCACTGCGACGCTTTTGCAATCAAGACCCACAGGCATCTGCTGAAAAGAAGGAGAGCTTACTGCATGTTTGCCAATGGGGGCGCAGCGCAAAACGGGTTGCAAACATGAAGTCTGCCTCCAAAGCAGACCAGCATACCATGGTTGAACATGTGAGTTCTGGTTCAATCAACAAACTTTTCAACCAATCAGTCGATCAGCATTCTGTGTGAAGCCAAGCATGCAGTCCTCGGCTCCCCCATTCCGCCACTCACTCTTTGCCTGGGATCTCCACGACGATCGAATCGATGTTCACCACGCATCGCTCGTCCCCCGCCACTCTGCACCGGCCCTTTGCACGCAGCGACAGCAGAAGCGGCACAAATATCACAACATTGTCCAAGCCGCCAGGGCCGGCGGCGGCACCCACCTCTTGGTATTGGGACAACACTCCCGACAGGCGGGCCAGTGGGTTGGCGTCCTCTTCCTGCAGATGCAAAACGCCAATGACGTGACACGCAATCGATTTTGCAGTTCATGTGCATGCATCACACACGACCAGGGCATGGCAAATGAGGCACTCTCACTGATGGGGCCTCATAGCTGCTTTGGGATCGAACCCTCAGCTGGATAAACGCAGTCCTTGGCGGCCACTGGCCGTTGAAGAACACAGGGCTGGCCTGCTCGATCTGGTTCCGCTTTAAACAATGACGAGCTATTAATGCATGAGTACTAGTGCGTTGAAAGGGCTCAGACACAGATAGACGCTGTGTTGAACAACCATTTATGCCCTGTGACACAAAACAGCAGCTGAGCTGTTGGGATTCACCCGACTGCACGTTTAAGCACTTGCACATCGCAACCAGAAAGGCTCTGAAGGCGCAGAGCTGACTTCCACAATAAAAAAGCGTGGAGGCACTGGATTTTATCGCATTCCTGGATTCCCTTCGCGTCAATCACCAATACACTTTTTAACTGGAAAACAAGGGGCTGACAGCCATGTCCTTGCCTGCATCTGTGACATTGATTGAATGACTAATCCACAACTGCACTGAGGTTCAATGCATGCCGCCTTGCAGGCATCCTTTTTGGCGCACGACCACCCTGCAGCAGCTCTGCTGCCGGGAACTTCGTTGGACAATCGGACTGATGGCAAAAGGGACATCTGCAACGACGATCAAATTTGATCGCCTCTTTGGAGACGGCTGCAACACCACTGTTGCAACATTGCCGTTAGCGGGCTGTGAAGCAGCTGCAATGACACTGTGCTTCTCCTACACAAGAGAGATTCTGGCAGTGATGGAAGCATGTACGCCTGGAGCAACGACTCCGGCGACAACCAGCGTGCCTGCAGCAGTGAGGACAGGAGCCACAGCTGCAATGGCGGCAAATGCAAAGACTGCGGCGACAACCAGCGGCAGCAGGAATGGCGGGTGTAGACAGAACAGTCCGTCAATCAACACCAGCACCCTGTAGCAAGCTTCAGTCAACCAACAGCACATCATGACAACACACATGCGATGGACCTTGCGCTGCTGGTTGTGTCAATCGCTCACCAATCTTGAAAGCCAATCAATTGATCGACAGTCTGATGACTAACATAAACACCTCAAACTCCTCTAGAAGATTTTTCTCGTCCTTGTCCTTTTCCAGGACGAGAAGAGGGGAACACATACGCTAATGAATCCACATAAACCATTGCCCCATTGCACCTTCACTTTCTCATTCACCTCAACAAAACTTTTGAGCAGTGCAAAAGAAAAACACAGCCAAAACGGCAGCCTCATTGCATCAATCCTTTTCCATCAACTGAACACCTATAGTGCACCAACCTGCTTGTTAAAGATAGTGATCCACTTGCCTTCCGCTAAGGGGCTCCTTGCAGCTGCTGGAGTCGGATTTTCCTTTGCCAACTCGTTGATGAGCTTCAATACTTCGTCATCACGCGCCCCTACACCACATTGGGGGAAATCTTCGAGACAGCGATCCCAGTCAAGCATCCCTGAATGTGTAAAGTCTTGCAGCAAACAGATGTGATTTGTGGAATCAGAAGGATTAAAAAGATAAACAAAAGGTTTGTTGCAAAAGAATACCATGCAATGAGAAGTCTGGTGGATCAAGCCATTGATGTCCAAGCACATGACGCTGTAGCCACTGAAGCAGTTGACATGATATGCTGAATCATCGCCAACTGTCAGAATAGAGCTGATAACTGAGCAATCCATAATAAGGTATCCCTGCAATAGCCCTCCAAAGGCAACAGGGGTTGCATTCATGTTCATGCAGCACACGCAATAAAATCATTGCATCAAATCATTCACATCAACACCACAAACTCCCTCGGTATTGCCATGGCGAAACCCCACCTTCGTTGATGGCATCTAGCAGTGCCTCCTTGGCCGACCTGTCCACCTTTGTGAGAACGAAAAGGGTACCCTTGTTGCCTCGACACAATCTCAGCGTCCCATCAGGAGACAGGTATGTGACATCCAGCCAGCCCTGGCAATGCCCAGTGGTCCACTGTCAGAGCCAACGTTTCAACATGTTTGGCAGTAATTCGTACATGCATGTTCTCCAACAGAAGAATTTAAAAGTAAAAATGAGGAATGTATCAATAGTTAGGCAAACACACAGTTGCTGTAGCACTTTGGCATTGACGTCAGTGGCATGCTTGTGCAATACTATATTCCTCTGCTCTGTTTCTACCTCAGCCAGTTCGCTGTGTCTTTGAATCTTTGAATCGCTGAGGTTTTCTTTCTACTTAGACTGCCAAGAGGCCTGCTCTGAATACCTTCCAGAGCAAAAGGCTTGGCATGCATTGAAATACTTGGCCTGCATCAATTCCACTACTTGCTGCAATTATGCTGCTTTTCTACATGCTGTGCTGCTTCCAAATACTGGGGCACGAGCCAAACTGTATGCCGCATTTTTATTTTTTTAGTTGCATCGAGAGAGCAAGGTACTGCATTGGCACTCGAGGCACCTTTGCTCTTCTGGCTTTCTGTATTGACAGGCAGGCAACATCATGGCATCAGTGCAAACTGATAGTCACGGCAGCCAACCACCACTGGCTGAAATACAACACTGGCTGTTGCACTAAAGGCCCAACAAAAGATATGCAGACAGGTCAGAAAGTGGGTGGTTACCACAGGCAAAATAGAACACAAGAATGTGCACAGGAAATTCCTGTCTTCATTACATCTGGCCACTTGTGGATATAAACTGCCCAGTCCTACAGTGTGGGCGAAACTTGTGTGTGGGGATGGGTTGGTTGGGAGAAAGAGACTCCAGGGTGGGAAACAGGTCTGGTGCCAGCCGTGGAATGCACAATAAGCACATTGTACGTGTATAATATTGTAGTGACAGTAGCAGTGTACAATTGCTGATGTGAAAACACTACAAGTGCCCCTTGTACTACCTGCAACAGGAGAGACAGAGAAATACTTGGGAAAGAAAATTGCTGACTTCCACAGTTCGATTGTGCCAGAAATCCCATGAATCTGCGATGCACAACAATAGAGAATTGCCCAAGGCCCACCTTGCGTTCATCACCCAAGATTCTGAACGGCACAGGGTATGGGATCGACAAAGACACGGGCCATCGAAACTTGAACCCAGCACGGTCAAATTGGAAGTCAATCCTCATGTCCTGCGGCAGGGGCAACCAGCTGAGTTTCGACATAGCTTGGATGCAATAATGGCAACCAAAATAGCAGCAACAACACAAAAAGCCATGAAATCTGCGTAAATCATGATGTGGTTATCTATTTAAAGTCTGAGTTAGGCTCTACACTCCTCAACTGACCTTCCTTTCAGCTGGCTTGTCAGTAATGCTCTTGCCAAGGAGGGGAATGCCCTCCCCCTGCCTGGGCACGAAACCAGGAATAGGCTGTGAGTCAGTGCTGGAGGCTGCCTCCACTCGCAGGGCCCCAATCTGCAAACAGTGGCATGGGGACCACAAAGAACCATCAGTGTGTGGCGTTGCACTTACAAGAGTGTAGCACAATGCATGCATAGCAGTGTGTGTAACATGGAAATCAAAAACAGGGTAGCTGCATAGAAGTGATGTCAGAATGGATTGGCCCTCTTTGCACAAGCTTTGTTCTTTCATTTTCTCCATCAGTTGCCACTCATGCAGACCTCTTGTGGTCAGAAATGTCCAATATTCATGTCCCAACATCGTCAAAGTCTAACAAGTACAAGTGCAGCGATTGTCACCCTCTTTGTGCGATTATCATTAACGTGGATTTCCAGTATGACAACTAGCAATGATGTCCATTGGGGGAATCAAACCAGAATTCCAACCTGTGTGGCCACTGTAGATTTGATGCATTCACGTGCAGATTTGAAGGCACATACATGATCGTTCACTCACCTTCTCCCCAAATTTGACAACATTCCGGACGCCTATGCCATCGTCTCCCTGCACGATGTCCTGGAAGACCTGGAAGGCGTCCACGCCAGTAAATGTGCGCTGCACGGGCGACTCAGTGCCGGGGGTCGTCGTGAAGAGGAGCCGCCAGCGACCGATCAGCGATGAGTCTGCAGTTGGGGCCTGCAAGTCCACCAGCCCTAATCAAACCGAAATTCTGTCAGGGAATGCTGGTTTCCCAACCAACAAAGATTTTTCGCACTCTTTTTCCTGGCAAAATAGATATTAACGTCACCCAGCTGATGCACGGGGGGATGGTTGGCAAGCCATGACCAATAGACGATGGACCATGTGATGAACACATGGCTAAAAAACTATGAACAGAAGCATTAAAAGAGCTTGATGATTTGCACGCAAGAGAGGTTTTGGCAGTCCGTCCATGGCATGGCCACAGGTGATTCAGTTCTTTCAGGGCATCAGCACAGCTATGTTCACCAACAAACAGAAAATGCGAGGGACGATGTCTGAATGTCCTTGCAAACAATTGGAAATTTGGTACTGAAGTACATTGGTACCCTGTATCTGAGCTTTGTTTCTGTGTTTCTGTGTTTCCTGCATTTTTTTGCTGTATTTGCAGTAACCGAAACAACAGGCAAGGAACACAAAAATGAGCACATGATACTGGTGGACGTCTCCAACCCTGAGGGGTGTGTTTGAGTTGATTAGGGCCACATATTGGAACCAATCAGGCTCTCCTGAGCAAGAGTACTGCTTCAGTGGACAGTTGCGTTGTATACATATGCACAACCGCTCTCTTGAGTTTTCAGCAGATGAATCTTGAAGTCTTTGGGTTGGCACTATTTAGCAACACTTGTATGAAGTAGAACTCACCTCAATGCCCCTACTGGCCTCAAGGACCTGAACGGCCTCCTCGAAACGTTGCAGTTGAAGGTCATCAAGTCCTGCCTGACCTCGGCCCCCCACCCCCTTTACCACGTCCAGAATCTGGTTCTGTGCCTCCTCGACCTGGACAACGGCAGCTGTGCAATGTCTGTCAGAGTGACGAAGAAAGCAAAGGTGAATGGGTACCAGAGCAAATTGAGAGAAACCCTTGTGGACGTAAATAGTGTCCGATGTCGCCCCACAGGTGGAAGAATAACGATTTTCACGCCAATTTTTCATTCTCGAATAGTGCATCACAAGTAAGAGTCAAGCTTCTGCTCCAATCCCAATATAAGATGTGTCACATCGTGTCATGGACCGATGTGGCCTTACACAACAAACAGAGCTGACCTGCCCTGAACTGAGCTGATGATCCTTCCATTTAATGCGCAGCAACACAAATCAAGCCTGTGCTGCGTTACCCGCTCATCGACACATCAAACGGAACAATTCATATCCACATTTGTCAGGCTCGAAATGTCCATAATGCAAGCAAGGAACCAACATTCCCATCGACCAACAGAACAAGTTGTGCCACGACTGCAAGTTCATTTGACATTAGCGCAGTAATGACCACTGAAAAGATTGTGTTTGTCCCGCAGGAAACCATGTTTCCTTCATCCCTTTCTAGGAACTAGATCAATTGCCCAGAGCTCACTGTTTGTGCTCCGACGCAATCGACACAGGAACGTGCATGAGCAAACTTCACCCCTCATGCTCCCATTCAGGGGACATCATCCGCTCTATTGTAAGTCCAGTTTTGAACATGACGTCGCAATCCGTCGCAATGCCAATCCGCCAGTGCAGTCGCTCAGTCACCCACATCCCAGCAGCCTAGGCGCCCCCGTCAAGAACCATTCTACCCCCCCCATCCTCTTCCCAGCCCAGATCCAAACGGCGAATGGATGCGAGAAAAGAGCTGCCGATCAACGCCCCGAAGTTCCTTCAAACCCCAAAACCGTCCCACCCACAATCCCAATTCCAGCATCCAACCTTCAACATTGCCAAGCATCGCACCTCCGCCGTCGCCGAATTCGATCTGCAGGGCCGCGCCAGTCGCGCCTTTCGCCCTCCTCGCCCCCCCCTCCACCGCGCGACTGGCCGGAGGGACAATCCCGGACCCGCCCCTTGCCCGGCGACGCCTGGCGTCGACCTTGGGGCCATGGGCATCGACCGACGCCTCCCTGCGACCGCCAGCCGATTCGCAGTCGGTGACCCGGAAGGCCCGCGCCGGTCACCGCGGGGTAGGGGCTCGAGCGCGGGGAGGGGGCGCAGCGCTGTTGCCACCCCAGACCCGGGCCAATTCCCAGGCAGGATGGGGGCTTGTGGGCTATGGCGGGTGATGGCCAGGCAAGGACGCAGTACATCTGGCGCACCGAAGTACTCCCGGGAGTACGGGGGGCACGGTAATATGGCCCCATTCTAAGGTGTTTGGGCGGGTTTCTGTGGGCGGTGGCCACGAAAGCCCACTAAAATACTTGTAGTGCTTTTGCCATACTGAGGTACTGCTAGGAGTACTGGGGGCGCGGTGCGGTGGCACCATTCTCAGGACTTGGGGCGTTCTCCGCGTGTCACCTGTGCAGGCCGACTGTTTCTTCCCAAAGATTGTAACCAGCCGAGACAGGGAACAGGGGTGAAGAGGGCGCTGACAGGATCATGAGACTGTGTGGATGATCTTGGCGAGTGTGCTCTTGGGCAGTTACGACACGCGTGTGTGGTACATGCTGGCGCTGTGGTCAAGGCGGCCACGAGGCATGCATGGCAAGCGAGGCGATTGTCGATTCTGTCTCAAGCCCCAGGCCCGGGAACCCCGGCATGGTACCGTGGCACAACGGACTCGCCCTAAGGCAACAGGGGTGCAGGATTCGGGAGATCTATTTCACTTGCACTTTTGTATTTGACGATGCCGCGAACCGCAAAATGGATCCCGCATGCCTCTTGATTCCAATCGGAGCCCATCTTGAAGTTTCACATCACATGCTGGGTGTATCATTGGAAGAAAATGATCTCCATCCAACCAACTCTGGTCGACAAGGTATAAGTCAATCTCCCACCTTCGTTCCTGAAATGTTTCTGGGATTCGAATTTGTGATTTGCATTTTTCTTGACAGCAATTGGGCAGTGTGCATCAGTGCATCACATTTTCTGGGAGACCAGGCGACTTTGTGGACTAATAAACGACGGTCAATTCGCAGCGAGCAGGTCTGTCAATGACGCCAAAGAGCCAGACTGGCTGCAATCGGCCAGCGCCGTGTGCTTGAATTTCCACAGCAAGGATTGCGGTGGCTGTGGACATTGGAAATTCTTGCAGCAATGGTCTGGTGGCAAACGACACAGCACTGCCCATGATATGTGTTCCCTACAGCCGCTGAAACAGTCAAAGCAGATGTGCTTGAGCCATCCATGACCGCCAGATGCTGCTGTTTAGCATGCCTGCAGCTGTGGCTCGACAGAGCACCTTCTGCTGCATTGGGGACAAAACCAATCGCAAAATGTTTGCCATTTAAACTGTTCTAAGAAGTCAGACTTTAAACTGCAAAGAATTGGGGACCCAACTGTGAGCAACACAGCTCCACAACGGGGGACAAAGCAACGCGCCCTTTCTACGAGGTCAACCTGTGCTGTACTCTGTTACCCTCCCGTCTGGGCCAACATCAGGGAGCTGCAGCTCTCAGTTCTGTTGCTAAATTCTTGAGGGCAGCCAAACCTTCAGCCTGCGAGATGCAGAGAGCCCGGAAGTCAGGAACAGTGAGATGAAGAGCTCAACAGCATTAGCAGATCTGCAGCCTTCCGTGTGCACCCTTGCTGCAACAATGCCCTCCAAAATTTGTGGGTCTCCATTGAATCCCAGTCTCAAAAGCTTGAGAAATCCCTTGAGTGCACTTTGTACTGCAGAACAGGTTGGGTTGCAATGCAAGTGTTTCAATTGCACTGAGAGAAGAGAATCTCACTGCCCATGTGACAGCGGCACAGGCTTACCGGGGAAGACGCCTCCCCAAGTGCACGGACAAGTGCAGACCCCACAATGAAGCCCTCCGCTCCCCAGGACGCAACTTGCTGCACGTGCTCCTGCTTGGAGATGCCAAAGCCGACAGCCACCTGCAGGTCAGCATCGCCAGGGAAGAATTCAGCCTTGACAACCAGGAAGATGACTCCTACAAAGGGCACCACCTTCTCGGCAATAGGCCGAGGAATTTCGCCATATTGTAGAAGATGATGCCCAGGTTTCCGATTTCCAACTGGCAAACTCATCAGAGAGTAGCACGCACAGCAACGAACAATATACCCAAAGATGGATTCTGCAGGCGTCATTCAGCCCAGGGTGCACGTACATAACAAGAGGTCAGTACTTAGGACCTGCAACTTGGGGGCAGGTGGGCAGCATCAAACGATCATCAACGAATTAGGAGCAAGGGCAAATGCTGGTTTCAGCCATTCGGCCATTCACCTTGTTGGTGCCTGGATTTCAGTAGCACGGAGACATTAGCTCGAGGAAGTAACAAAACAGGGCCACATTCTATGGCTGATGAGGATGGGAAGTGTTACTGCTTTGTGCAATTTGTTTGCCCCTGGAGATTGCTGAATCACAATTTTACAATGCAGTCAATTGTCTCCAACAAGTCGTCCAAATGCCATTCTCCCTCCATGTCAGCCTGACTCCCATTCGCAAGCACTAGCCTATCGCTCCCGGCCTCTGCCTCACAACACATATCATGTATTGTTTCATGCAACACACCGACGGCAGTTTCGATTCCAGGTTGACACCTAAAGCCTACTTTTGCAGATTCCATATGTCACACAGAATCAAGTCAGGTGCTGTCCCCATCCTAACATCACTATATCTTTGCCTTTCCACCCATCAGGCGACATCCGATGCTGGTCACAGGCACCAGTGGTTTTGCTCCTGCCCCCATCCAAGAGCTATAGAACCCTGAATCTCACCAATGACTGATTCTTCATAGCAACATCTCAACTGGTTTGTTAATCACGTTGCACAGCATATCTCACTGGAAACATATCTCACCGGTTTGTCAGTCACGTTGTGCAGCATGTCGATGAGGCCCTCCACCCCTGTGGCGACGCTGTCCCTGACCCCTGTGACGCCTGTCACACTCACCAAGTAAACGAAGCCCTGGGTGGCACGTGCGATTTCTGTCATCCTGTCCTTCGGGGTGGTGGGCGTCGTGAGAAGCACGAGTTCCAAGCCCGCCGCGGCACAGGCCTCCCTCACTTCTGAGGTTTCCTCCAGTGGCAAGTCGGGGACAAGCAAACCTGCAGGCAAGGGGGCCAGATCAGGTTTGGGAGAGCGACCACGAATCATGACCCGTGATGCCATCTAGAGGGCCCATTGTGCCTGCTTGTTGTTTGGCTGACTTGTAAGGCACCCCCCGGAATCAACAACTGGAGAACAGCTGTTACCGTGGAGATGGGCTTTGACAGAATGATAACAGATATTGGTGAATGGTAGAGGTCAGTTGGTTGGAGCAGCGTCTGAATCAGACAGTTCAGGTCGGTATGCTGATGAGGTGCCAAACACAATCTGAGATATGATCTCTGTGTGCAAGGCTTGGCATACATGGCACGTCAATGCAGTTAAGAACATACACATGTACTGGAACCTCTCTGTGCACCCATTAGGCAGGTGACGTTGCAGGTGCAGATGCTGATACCTTTGCCACAGGTGACACAACTGCCACAGAACCCAGAAGCCCTGGGCCAGAATTCCACCTTGGAGGATTAAAACTCGTTTGACTGCATGACTGACAGATGAGCAAGCACCACTCTTGCACCCAGCAGGCGAGGTTGGGCTAGAGCTTCGAGTGGGACCAACAACTGTATTTGCCACTTTGCCAAGGCAAGCAACTGTGTCGGGTCCATGACAACATCCACAAGTTGCACGATGAGTCCCACCCACCTGAGGCCCCAGCGTCCTTCAATTGCCGGCAGAACGTATCAAGACCCCTCGCCAAGATGGGGTTGTAATAGGTGAACATGATGACAGGAGCCTGCAGTTCAGGTGCCAAAGCCCGCAGCATATCGAACACAGCATCCAGTGTAGTGCCGCTCTGCAAAGCTCGCGTGGCAGCAGACTGGATTGCTGGACCATCTGCCAAAGGGTCCTACAGCAGCAGGATTCTGACATCGTTTGCCATTCTCTCAAGGAAGATTGAAGGGGTGGGGGATGGAACAGAGCTGCATCAATGCCAAACTCTTTTATAAGCCCAACAATGGTGCAACTAGCCGCAATCTGCCCAACAGCCACCTTCAGGCCCACGGGATCCCATAAGTTTATGTTGGGGACTGCATCTTATGTGTCTGTGGGAAGCTGCACTGTGCAATGGACAATTCTCGAAGTACATCAAAGGACACCAACAATGGACCCTTCAATGGACAAGCGTAAACGCAACGCAAGCTTAAGTCGGAATTCAAGCCCCACAGACAAGAGGGGATGCCCTGTATGGCCTGTTTGTGTTTCTCTTGTCAACTGCAACAATCAACCCTCCCCCCAACACACACACGCACGTGTGCAATGGTGGTTCCTCGAGGGAAGGAAATCTAGTTACATGCTGGGCATCGCTTCATGAAAAAGTGTAGGAATCCTCTCAGCATTCTTCAAGAAGGTGCAGAAATCGGCCAGCAGCCAAAACTCACAAAAATGATGCAACTGTCCAAGATGAGCAGCATGGGCCCCCAATCGGTCTCCTTCCCAAGTATCCACACACCGAATAAGGCACCCCCAGCTCGATGACGTCCGCGCCCGCCTCGTCGATTTGCTTCAGAGCCAGTGACGTTGTGGCCAGGTCGGGGTCGCCGGCGCAGAGGTAGGGGATGAATGCCTTCCTGTGGGCAAACATTTGCCCCTTTTAACAAGATAGCTTGTTGTCACCAGTAGGCAGAAACCTCCCGGGCAAATATTTGGGGTATTCCTTTCCATGCCGCGTCGGGTGATGCAAGGACCTCTGAGTGCAACAAAGAGTGACCCTGTCTGCCGTGCTTCGCAAGTTGTGCAGCTGGACGGTGTGCCGCACTGCGAGCTTATGACAGAAGGAAAACAACGAAAGGATCCTTTTGCACGCTTCGTCGCCTGCAGGGTCACCATCAGTGCCCGTTTACTTGATGCGCACACAACAACAGCAGCGTTTCTCAGTAGAGAAACGGCTTTGTGTGCACGCAAATTCAAAGCTGCCGAACAGGACGATCAGACGCCCGTGTGGCCCACAATCCGCTGTCAGCGGCGGCCACAATACCCCGGCATCGCAAACTGGTTGACGACAATACACCCGCCGTAAATGAAGATGGCTGCGCATCAGCACCAGGCGCCGCGAACGCACCTGCCGCTGGCCTTGATCTCCTCCATGCGACCAGAAACTGCGCACGCAGGCGCGGAGTCAGCAGATGCTTTCGAGGATCAGCCGTCTGCGTCCGCGGGTGCGAAGCAAACAAGCCGATGTGGGCCCCCACCGCTGGGTCGAGTGGCCGGGGCGCTGTTGGTGGCGGACGCCTTCAGCGGTGGCATGGGCCTGGGGGCGGCCTGGGGGCGCGAATAAAACGTTCCCGGTGCCATCACCCCGCCGCAGGGGCCAGTTCGCCGCAGCAAGGCACGTTGAAGCAGCGGCGGACGACCGCAGGGGCTTGGGTGGGGCCTTGGAGCTGGGCCCCAATGACGTGAAATACTGCTAGATTTTTAACCCTTCCGGATAGCAACGTCAACGCGTGGCCTTTTTTTGGGAGAAAATATTGAAATAAATAACGTTCTTTAGTTAAAACCTGTGCGGAGCCACGTAAAAATAATGAAAATAACGCTCCGGAAAACAAATGAGGAGCAGAAAGCATAACGTAACATTTTTTCATGCGGAAGGGTTGAATACACTACAGCATCAGGATGTGCAACATAAGTGTGTTTCCTCAACTACCCGTATTTGTTTAATGCCCTTTTGCCAGCAGTACACAATCCACCAAGCTCACGGAGAAATGTACACCACTGCCAATGATCCAATGTGTGGGATGCTTCGTGTGTGCCAAAATGTTCGATGCCGGATGCAGTTAACAGTTTCGGTCAGGTGAGAAGTAGTTCAGACACGAACAACACATGAATGTATGTGCACATGGGCAGTCGTACCACTCAATCAATGCTTGAGCGCATTCAGCGATGGCTTGACACAGCTACCCTGTTAGCCGATTCCCGCAGTTTACCAAGACTGTCCAGGAAGGATCCGTCATAGTGCACATCTGTAACTTACAGACTGTAAGGGGACCATTCAGCAGTGGTACAGACCACGCTGGTCTCCAGTCCTGTCCCCAAGACATCGCACAGTTGGTTTGGAGATGATGCCTCCAGTGGAATATCAGCTTCGCCGGGCAACACAGCTCAGCGCTGGGTCTCGCACGCTGTGATCAATGGATTTGGGGTCGGCTTCATGTGGGAGAGCAGTACATGGAAAGCAGAGCTGTCTATCATACGATCTAGGCCAAAAGGATGGAGCCAGGCGTGGCCTGAAAAGTCCTTTCCCTTGTACCTGTACTAGGAGTGGTGCCTTTATCCCCCTGTATCTGGGCCTGGGGAAAGTTGCTATAGACATTCCATCAGTAACTGTCCGCAGGCTCAAACGCAGTGTACACCAGCATGTCACCACGCTGTTCTGTGTTACAGCACAGCACGTTAAACATCCTTTTCATGTCGCAGTTAATTTCAAGCCTGCCCATGTCAACAGTCCGACGGATTTGTGGCGTTCTATCATTCAGTCGGTCGCTAATGTCAATCATTCGTAAATCTGAACACTGATTGGAATGTGTGAGGTAGACAATTCTAATCACATGCTCTGCTCCTGTCAGGATCCCTTCGGTCAGACGCCTTAGATAGAATCACGGTGGGAGTCCTGGTCTTATCAGTGATGAAGAAGCATGTGGACAAGGCCTTGCAGCAACAGTCCTTCCAGAAGTGCTCGGCAGTGTCGGGGACTCAGGGTATGAAGTGATGGGGTTTGCCATTGACATTGCAGCATCGCCCATGGATGCAGACTTGGAATTTAAAGCTGTTCCTGGAACTGCTGATGAACGTCCCCTGCTCCAAAGATGGCTGAGCCGAGGAGTCAACGTCCAAGACGAAATGTCGGTGGTCGAGACTGGCAGTGGACATTCGCAGGAATCAATCGAGGAATACCTCCTATCTGTAATTGAATACAAGGATACCTGTGCCCATCTTTGCAAAGGAATTAAACCTCCTAAGCACGTCGCCACTGAGCAGATTAGAATACAATTGGATGGCCGTTCTGCTTCCCCATGGGGAAGCAGAACGACCATCCAATTGCTGCTGGCCAGCAGCATGTAAGCACTTTGATGTGCGATTTTTGCTCTGCCTTCTGCCCGCTGAATCAACTACTGCTCCTAAATCAGCCGCTCCAGAACTGCCAGGAGTTGGGTGTGAAAAGCACTGGCGAACTGAATGCTACAGCTATCAGCGACGTAAGGGCAACAGTTGCTCATTTGTCAGTCATGATGATGGTCGGCATAGTGGGCGTTTGCCTATGCCGCAACCATCAAATGATGGATCCGTGTTCCAGACCTGAATGGGAATGTGTGCTGAGGACCTGCCTGCCCAAAAGCCTTGAGCTTAACTAAAGCAGAACAAGGTTCATGTGCACAGTGTACTTGGCAAGTGTCGAAAGAGATGCTGCGACTCACAGAACAGCGCCAATGACGAAGATTCACTACAAATTCAATTTACACTGGCCAAGGTTCTATCGTTTAATCTTTTGGAAATTGTAATTCAGCCACCTGGCCAACCCATGCCACGAGATATTCATCATAGACAGGGGAAAATTTCGCTGTCGATTCGAGTTGGAAAGCGATTGGGTGGCATCTGCAATGACAGCAACATTGCGGTTTCGTTCTCCACCCCTCGTGGACGCTTCTGGTACAATAGCAGGACGGCGAAATCTGTGAGCAAGCTTAAAATGGTTGTGCATAAGAGAAAATCACGAATGAGAAAGGGTAAATGTTCCCCTCTCTGAACGGTTGTGCAAAAAATCAAATCGAGAACGAGGAAGGGAAAATGATCCCCAAAGTTGACGTTCCGTTAGGTCCGACAAGTTGCTGTCCTGGAGTTAGTGAAGTGTCCAATGGGTTCATAGATTGCCGCACAATCTCGCTGCAGAAAGGTATCAGGATATCCAAAGAAGACGCTTCCGGATGGAAGTATTTCTTTTCTTGATGGAGTTGGTTTTCGTGTGTTTGTGAATGTCAAGAATGGCGAGGCCCTGATTGTTCAAGATTCAGAGGCGGCGAAGGCGCTGCAATGCAGCAGTGCTGGAGGGGAGCCTGAGGAATCACCAAAACTGATGCAGACACCAACGCTTCAGGAATGTGAAGAAAAAGGAGACCCATGTGCAGTCGACGAGCTAGACAGGATCAGAAGAGCCCATCGATGTATCTCAACGCCGCCGCAGCGCTGCCAGCCTTGCACTAGCAAAAGAAGGACCAATAACACTCTTTGCGAGGACATGTGAAATGGGTTTATCAAGGCTCTGCACGCTGAAAAACAAAAACCACCAAACAGAAAAGCCCGTTTTGTGACGCCAAGGGCGATGCCATTTTGACACTAAGTGGCGCCATCGCAGTGGTTGCGATGGACAAAGAGCGGCTGCGATGGCATCAGATAGCAGGCTTGGTTTCTGCGTTTACGTTTACGCGCAAGAACGTAATTTTGCAAAAAGGCCTAATTTGACGGCTATTTTACGTTTTCAAGGCTCCCCGGGACACCCAGGTTACACGATGAAAGTTGCGTACGATGATCAGTCCTCCGCCAACTCCAGCACTCGCAACACAATGTACACCTGACCTTTGGCAAGGGCGATAATGGCATCTAATCAAAAATCGCTTTCTGCCCCTTCCAGGACATCTGGCAGCCACTCTCCGGACTCTGTCAATGTGTGTGTACTGTACTTATGTACACCGAGCAGTTTTTACTTGTATTTACGTATTTTTACGCAATGTTAGGCGTAAAAACGTAAAAACTATTCTTACGCGTAAAAACATGAATACGATCAGTTTTTTGGGCGTAAGACCCAAGCCTTTCAACTAGTGCCAAAATGGCATCGCCATTGGCATCACAAATATGCCGTTTTCTACTGGTGAAATAACCCAAACCCGTGGACTTTGTACAAATATGAGCACGTGTTATTTGAAACATTTTTTCTAGTGCTGGGGGCAAGGTCATCTGAGTGGGGTGCACGAGAAATGGAGATAGCGATGAGGTGGTTCAGAAAGACGGACGTGGTGTTCACTGGAGACAAATTATTGTCCGAGAAAGATCCGGCTGGAATAGTGTATGGAGATTTCTTGCCAGGAAAGTTCGAGCCACTGGACTACAGGCTTACGGCTATGGCATCTTCTGGTGTTTGCTGGGTGTGACGAACAGTCGACTCAGTCCGTTTTGTTGCGATCCTCATGGAAGGAAACCTGAGGATGCGAGCCGCGGGTGGCACGACCTGCGAGGCATCGTGGATTTCGCTGCCGTCGTCGACAGCATGATGCCATACATTCAAGAATGTATCATGCTGTGGAGACTCGATGCATCACTTGGCGAGCAAATTTTGACGGACTCTGGCTGCATCGAGTTGCAGACATTCGGGGCAAATGACTGCTGGATGTATCTGTACGACGGTGCAGACTCAAATGCGGTTGGCATGTATTATTATGTTGCACATGGCCACCTGGTCAGCAAAGAGAGACTGTGCCTGAGGAGACGGTGTATTGCTGATACGTGCGCTTGCGCGGCCAACGGCAGCCATTGTGCGTGGTGCGGAATTTTGATCAGTGCAAAATGAGGCTGATCGGCCTTGTTCCTGGGATATTGATGATGAGGCGCTGCCTGGGAAGGAGTATACCATGCACGGCAAGTTGGTGGATATTGGGGAGTGAATGCATTGTTCGGTTAGACGTTCAGGGTAAAAAGGGACATCGTTTAATTGTTTGCGGCTGCGTCGCTCTTGTGTAAGACTGTGCATCTGGATGTCTAAACTCCAAATGGGAAGAGAATTCTCATTGCAAATTAGTTGCCGCACTATCAATGATTCACTCATCATATTGGCAAATGTGCTGGAGCGGAAACGAAACAATCAACACAACTTCCATCATTCAACGGAACCCAATTCAGAGTCCTGCATTTCACAGCTGCAATCATGAATGCGACAGAAACTCTCGCACTCGCACCCAACGCCCCAAGAATTGCCGTGTTGCTAGGGAAGGCGACATGTCGGATTTGGCACCACCAGCTTCATCTTGACGCGCCCGGTGGGCGGTTTAAGGAGGGTGTGGTGTGGGTCTGTGTATAGTGCCATATGAAGCCATGCATACCCA